AGATTAGCTTGGGCCAGCGAACGCGCGTGAAGCGAATTTTTGTTTTGGAGGACGTGAGACACGTCCTCTGGAGTGTTTCCGTTCCCTCGATTGTTGTCGTGGCGGCTGTACTTGAGCTGTCCCCGGTACAGTGTTTGGTGCTGAGTGTCCGGGTCCTGCTGGGATAGCAGACGACGCCGGACTCAGGGTCACCGAGGCCGATACCGTCGATCTCGGCCTTCGAACGCTGCCAGTAGGGACGCCTACTGACCTCAGCGTAACCGCTCCACTGCTCCCGTGTAGACTTGGCCTGCGAGAGGCATCGTCGGGGAGCGACCCCGCTTCGCCGTAAGTACCTGCCAACAGGCAGTTTATTGTAAAGGGCAGCGGCCCTAGATTAGCCCGCGTTGTCTGCCCGGTTCGCGTTTTCGCGCCGCGAGCACGTCGAGCAAGCGCGCTCGACGTGCGAGAATTAAACACACACACGCACACACACACACACCCGCGAATACTTTTTCTTGTAATCAATTTATATTTCTTGAATATACATTTTTATTAACAAAAAAATAACCGCGAGTGCTACTTCCTTTCATTGTGTGCCCGATCCCCCGTTGTGCCGTGTTATAGTCGTCGCGAGAGGCGACGACGTGTAAGGTCACCGCGATACCTGATCCAACAGCGGTGTCTCGGCGAACGAGACTCGCAAAATATATTACAGGGAGTGTCACCGTTGGGTATCCGGGCAACCCAGGCCCGGTCGAAGTGGAGGGACTCCGCCTCGTCAATCCGCGTGATCCACCCCGTAACAGTCTATTCCGCTTACTTTTCGAGATATCATGTTTCGAAAGTGAAACTATGGAGTTTTGAGCCTTATCGATTGTCACAATGTAGTAAAAATATTTTCTTACATATTTGTCTACGAAAAATATGGAAAAAGAACAATAAAAAAATTTCTACTTCTTTACTTTTTGAAATGTTGCATGTTGAAAAGTCAAGAATCATATTTTGAATATCTTCAATTTTCATACACTTAAGAAAGTCAAATTTCTTATTGGTTTAAAAATGATAAAAATGATGGTTAACGTTATTTTATTATCGCTTCTCAACCAACTGACAAAGAACAAAGTGTATCATCAATTCTCATCACCCTTTGCGACTTTTTTATTGACGCAGCTACCCTTGCAAGTTGATAAAATAATGAATAACATTTACAAAAATTCAATTGTTTTATTTATTTTCAGTACCTCTAAAAACTTATCAATTTCAATTTTCAGCGTGATTGGTGGCACACGGTATTATGTTGTCATTATGGCGGTTTTAATGGCTTTACGGTCATTTGCGAACATCGAGACTGTCATATTCGTAATCAGCACCTCGAAAAACGTAGGTATATTAATTTTTAGCTCAATCGGTAGCAGAAAATACTAGGAAGTACAGCCATTATTTTATTTCTATGGATACGTTTGGTTTTCTCGACGTATCTTTTTCCAGTGACAAAAAGGGGTGTCCCGCAGGGCAAAACGTGGTTTCTGTTTTAAGACAAAAACAACAATCACTCACAGTACCATAATTTTTGCGTTTTGAAGGTGTACAATGCAAATATAGTTGTTATTTTTGACCATGAAAAGTACATATTTCTTGGTAATTTTGACATATATAGGTATAGACAGACTAGGCTACCAAAATTTTACTGCACAATTTTTTGCGGCGTGTGTACGCAGCCTAACAGTTTACCACCAATTTTTTAAGGTCTTTAACTTCCTTCACAGTTATAAATTTAAAGAGTAGTTTGTGCATTGTAATGACAGAGGTTGAAAAGTGCAAGGTTTATAATCATTAACTCTTTAAACTTCTTATGAATTATATTTTTTCAAGTTTTTAACGTTACATACGGTAAGCCAACGTAAAGTACATAAAGAACAAATTCCTTTGGTAAAGTCGATTACTTGTACATGTGTCTGTACTGTTATATATTTGATTTGCCTTAGTAAATGCTTTGTACAATATATTATGTATTAAACAACTTGCAAAATTGGACTTTACGAATGGCATTCCATTATATTTCTATCATTACAGTTCACCTACCTCAAATAAAAAAAAAAAAATCAAGTGTAAGAAAAAATTAGAATAGTTTTTGAACAACTTTCAACATAACAATTGAAAGTGACGTAAGATTCAAATTATTGAAAATACTACAATAGAGTTGCATTATAATGATGAAACTACTTACGTAAATGATGTTTCGTACTTTATTTATTTGTTGCTTTCAATTACGGAAAAAATATCAGTAATTGCAAACAAGAGAATAATTTTGTATTAAATTTGTACCTTGAACATCTTCGTCAGACTCATTCGCACTACTATCAGAAATAGATTTTTTTTTTTGGAACTCTCTTTCCCAACGTTGTGATAGAAGACTGTGACAGAATATTATCTGATTCCTCTCCCGTACTGACATTTTTCGAAGCTTTTTTAATTGTGACCGCGTATTCAAAATCTATTATATGATTATAAATATTATCTAAATGTAATGCTTAACGCTTAACAAGGGCTGTCACAAGAATCAAGAAACTCTTCATCGTGTCTCGTCTTGTCTCGAAAAATTGAGACGATATTAAGACAAGATGACAAAAACATAACCAAGACAAAAACACGGAATGTCATTTAAGATTTTCATATCGTCGAGATAAGTCATTCAAAATCTTAATTATCTTGATCTTGAGTATCAATTAAATTACCGACAGAGCTTTTGAGAAATATTACTGTATGTACTTATATTTTTACAAAACTGAAAAGTTTACACAGAATAAAGTAAGCAGTCTTCTCATTTATACAAATATATATAATTAAAAGAAACAGGCAGGGAATGCAGCCAGGTACTTACGAGAGAACAATATATTATCTCAATAAGTTTTTCTTCATATTAATCATACCTATATCGTATACTAAGTTGACATGACATCACACATAGTACCTACAGATAAAATTGTACAACGGTAATGACATCCTTCATAGCCCCTTCATCGTGGTAACTCAGAGTAAATTTTTTTTATAAGAAACTCTGATGGAATTAACAAAACTTTTAATTCACGTTCGTGCTTAGAGATTTCTCAATTTTGTTAATTAACGAAGTTAAGCAGCGTTTGGCATGGATAGTATTTGGATGGGGGAGGCGACGGGAGTGTGAGAGTTTTGTTGTTTCAACCTACATATTATTTATTTGTTTAAAATTTACATTTAATTTAACGGTATTATACTGTCGCTGTGGTATTGACCATATGAATACATTTTGTATCCTACAAATGAAATTGGAATTTTTGCAATAATTTTTTCTCTACTTAAAAAAGTAATTCTCACTAGATATTTCTGTATACTTTTATATGATAGAAAATAAAATTTGTTTTTCATTCAATGAATGCTAAAAATTTTGGTAAACATTCCTTCGTTGCAACAGCTAATTTTTTTTGTTAAACTACTTCTTTCTTGACTAAAATACTTTTTTTGGGCAAACCAGAAAGTTAATATTAAAAGATCAACAGTGTTGTGGTTAGCTTATACAAATATGCCCTTTAATTTTTTTGACGACGGCATCACACGAATTTTCTTCCTTGCTGATTACTGATGTATGATTTGTTAAAGAAAAGATTCTTTGTATAACAAGATGTCAATTGAGTTTTTAAAAATGCGAGATAAGCTTAAGTGTATCTTACAAAATAATTATTCTAAACTATCACTCACATTCGAAGGCTGGTACTAAAAAATTTTAAATTTTATTTTAGAGTTACGGTACACTTTATAGATAATAATTGGACGGTGCAATCACTTTTAGACGCTGACTGCTACGTCGGGGCTAACTTTATCAACGCTTTTGGCACCGTCCATGATCCTGTTGATAGAGTCCTGGTACTGAAAGGACCAGGTACCAAGGTTCCTCTAGAGGTAGCGGGCGTGACGACGACCGGTGAGGTCCGACTCGCTGCCGTCGGGCTGGACGAAATCTCGTCTACCCAACAAGAGGAATTGCAGACCCTCCTGGACCACTACGTGGAGTGTGAAGCTCCCTTAGGTTGCACTACGTGGGTCGAACACGAGATTGAGGTTACGAGCTCGCGACCCATTAAGNTTATTATTATTATTATTATTACTATTATTTTTATTATTATTATTACTTTGTAGTATTGTAAGAGTTTCTACCTTAACAAATACATTATAATTTTTCTTAAACGTATTTTTTAAGGTACTTTTTATGACAAGATTTAAAGGATTTTTTTAATCAAAAAACTCGGTTAGAGTAAACTAACCATCTTATTAATGTACTTGTATATTTTTTTATTTACAAAATTATTGTAATGGCATTATATTTCTGAACTCTTGGACAAAGTACACTAGCGATTCATTAGCATAATCAATATCTTCGGGACTACTTGACTGATAGCATAAAATTCTAATGGCACAACTTGAAGAGTTGTAATGAACGATAAAATCACTTGTGATATTATCGTCTTCAGTGAGAATAAGTGATCCTGCATACAGAAGAAAGAAGCTGAATTCCGTTGCTTTCCAACGATTTATGTCATACAAAGACCTCAGTTTTCTATTAAACTCTCGGGGGATAAATTTTGATAGGTCAGTTAACTTTTTGAATAACAACTCAATTTTATCTGCTAATATCCTAGGAATATGCTTAATCCAAAGTGTCATCAGGAGCCTAGTTGCACCTAGATTAATCAAATGCATGGGCTCAACCGGGAATTGATGCACCATATCGATTTCAACTTTTTCAAAAGGGGAAGGCCCTAGATGATGCTCTGGTTGCTCACGATTCCGGAAACTTTCATTGGTTCTAAGACTGGCATCTTCTTTTAAAAAAGTCATTCTGTGGTTATTGTATGTTCCCTCTTCAGTACATTTTTCACAGCTGAAGTACCCATTGTGTTGTTTTGTGCATGTACAAAAACTTCTCGCAGGATAATCAGCAATGACACAGTGCAAAGTACATGTATACAGTTTGTCTTTGTGAACAAACCCTTCGTTACACAACGCCTTATACTCATTTATAAATGGCCTCAACAAAAACTCGGCTGATGCAGGTTTAGCATTACCATGGTAACAGCCTATCAAAAAAGGAGGAGTATTATGATGAATAATGTGACCTTGAATTGGCCACAATGTTCTTTTCGTTGATTTTGTAATAGGTAAACCATCTACGTTGATATCAATTATAATTGGTGTATCTAATGATAATTTTGACATTATAGTTTTAAGCTAATTCTCTAGTCCAAAATGCACGTATTCACCCGGTGGGCAGTCAATTATTATTGTATGCTTTGGTGTCTTTACTAATGTACGAGTGTCTTTGGGGAGCGTAGAATGATCAGCAGCTCTAAGTAAACACAAAAATTTGTTCATGTGCTCACGACTAACAGTCACACATTCCACATACCAACCACTCAGAGCACTTCTCAGGTTAAATTCCTCTGTAGATTTATCGCTTTCTGTACTGTTATCAGAGTCACCTTGACATATACATCACAACTTGATTGATTACTTGTCTCATCATCAGTGTCATTGTCTGAGTAATTGCCCTTACTTTCTAAAGTCATTAGTTCATGGTTATCAATGTGGAGCGCTGATAAAAATGACTCAAAATCATTACTGGCAAAGATTTGCGAATGTAACATTTCTGATGGACCAAGTTGTGCAGGCTCATTTCGTGCTTTGCGAGGTCAAACTCTTTAGTCATTTCCATAACTTCAGGAATTCTTTGTTGAAGTAAAGAATCATGTTCCATAACGTATGGGAAATTAGTATAATCATCCTCAGAATCGCATGAAAAGTCATCTAAGTCCTGTAAAACTTCTTTGTCAACACGTCTCTCTTTCTGCCGTTCTGATATAAGCGCAAATGGCTTTTTTTGAGACGTCTGAAAATGTAAGGCACTGTAGACAGGTTGGAGTAGTCTACGTCTTTGAAAGTCACTGATTGGCTATGCTACCCTCAGGCTCAATGAATATAATACATTTAAGTTCTAAACTGTTTGTAAGTGAATTTCATGAGTGTACGTGTATTAAATTACAATTATAACTATAATAATTATGTCAAAATATAGTAATTAAAAGTGTCTTTTTTAACTGTTTGTTGTAAAAGTGAATTTTTGTCACTATCGTATTGTATAAACATTACATTTTTCAGTTAACATCTCGGTAAAGAAACATAAAATAATCGTAGGAAAAATATCATTTGTTGAAGTATAAACCACGCTGTTGAAACTTCGATGTATACATTTGTTTATCGACGTCATAAATTCTAGTACGAAAGAAAATGGATTTCTGCATGTGGGAGAAGACAAATTTCTGTACTAAAAAAGATTTTTAGTAAAGAGAATTTATCATCTATGTTTTCCTCAGTTATCATTGTTACTGCCATAAAGCACTTACTCGTTACTGAAAGTCATGTAAAGTAGCCGAAGCGGTACTTTTAATACTCGGTTATTTGATAAAAAATACAGATTTGGTAAACGTAATTATTTTGATGTCTGTAAATCAATCTTCATTATTTTTTTTTCACGTTATGAGAAATTTTTATGAAAAAAAACTTGTATACCCAGACTATAACATGTAATATCATAAAACATGTCTAATAAATTAAAAACGTTTAGTCTAAATAATAAAAACTTAAAACTTGTAAATAATGACTGTGAGGTGGATCTGCAGTAGAATAAAAAAGGTGCATGTAAATAAAACAAACACGTTACATTTCAAGATCAAACAAACTTATACCAAAAATGGAAGACTTTTATGTCAAATATACAGGGACAAGCTAGATCTTAAAAATTTACTTTACAGCAAAAAAAAAATACAAGAAAGCTTATTGTCCGGTAAATACGTTAGTACTTTGGAAAATGCAAACTATTATTTAAATTTAAAAGATATTTATTCATATACAAACTGTAAACCGTTTGTCAAAGCATGTGATAGTGTAAACTTGACTTGATAGTGATACTCTTTTTTTTTTTACCGGGTTACGACAACAGCCTACTTGGCCTGGTCGCGACGGCCACCCACTCACCACTTATGTGTAGGGGTGTATTGCCACACCCATCTCTAAACCTTTTCCCTCGCATCCAATCTGAATCCATGGGCATAGTGTGAGTATCTCCGGTGAAACACACCTTCCCAGTTAAACTGACACTCTCTGTTACCGATGGTGCATCGGGTTCACTCACCACAGTGTAGTCTCTCCCTGGATAAGACTCCATTATTCCAGGACGTCCACTCCTCGACGGTTAAACTGCGCTCTCTGCCGAAGTATCGGATCCAGGCTAAGCAGCATCCCCGGAGAAGTCCCGTGTTTCAGGGGCCACTCCTCGCCAGTAAGGACGGCGATCCCTGCCTGAAGCCTGGCATCGGGTCCGCTAATCCCCACGTATAAGCCCTAACACTGTTTCGCATTCACCCAGGCCTGAAAACCTGTGCGGCAAGGAAAAAACCCTGGAATTACTCTGAAGAAAAATTCTACGGAAAAACTCGCCCCAAAACAGCCGGGGTTACATAGGAACTTTTCCCGATGAAAACAGTTTTTGAAAAAATCTGCATTCACCAGGAATCGAACCCACGACCCCTAGAACTGCGTTGTATCAGTAAAAAGCATGCTTACCACTGAGCCAACGCCGCTCCCTTTGATAGTGATACTTCAGGACATATGGCACATTTTTTAATATTTAGAGATAATGTGTACGCATAACTGAATAAATCTCTTTCTATGCGCGGTGATATTTTTTTTCTTTAGACCATAAAAATTGGTCATTTTCATCTATCTGGCTTTCTGATTGAGAAATTGCATATTTTCACATATTTTAAGGTCAAGTCATCTAATAATAAATGGTTATATAAACATAACGTGTTTGGAATCCATCAATCTGCTGCGCATGAAATTATTTTTTGTAATTGTTAACTTTATTCAAATAAATTTTTAACTCGTCCATACGTGAGCTATATACACATATGCACACGCCACACACTAGCACAGTAGTGAACACACGTGCACACCCATACACGCACTCTTACGTACACATACAAACGTATATAAACATATATATATGCTTCCTGGACAAACCAATTAACTCCACTTTTGTGATTTTCGAGAAAAACGGCTTTAAAAATTGAACAGCTACTTTTTGACAGCGCAGAAACTGCGCGTTTCTTACTGTGCCTGACATTAGGTACTAAGACAAGACTTTATAAGTTTACATGGGTGATCGAAAAATGCAATCGACTTCCTTGCTACAAGTCACTTTTGGAGTTAATCGGTTAGGCCGGGAACATAGGACTTAATCGAATACTCAAATTTATGGATACTCATCAAAAAGACGTATTGAACTGCCATGCCTACTTACTAATTAATTGTTATCAAGTAGTAGATTTTTATTACTCAAACGTAGCACTGTACTACTTTGTACAGTTCTATCGACAAAACGGTGGCTTCGACGAAAAGTGACACGATTCGTTTTCTCCCGTTTAAAATGATATTGAAAAATCTGAGTCAGGTTACTTTTTATTGGAAGGAATGCTTGGACTGCAATTTCAGGGATTTAAACTTATCTGGAGCACTGATCACCAAAGTAAATTCACGTTAGGTGATAAATTTTGGCCCCTGCAAGAGGAGTAGGCTTTTCCACGGCATGGCTCCAACATTAGCGCCCGTGTTTTGTATTAAAATTTTGTAAATATGTGGCTATTGCGCTATTAGCAAGGCTATTAAAATGTTTTTAACGTCTTGCTACTAGTTTTTCTCTCTTATAACAGCCCAAGTATGACGCGAGTCGCATATACCATACGTATGTATACTATACGAGAACTTGGATTAATTATTTGTAAAAGCCACACATATATCTTCTAAAAGAGTGAAAATTACTTAACACAATATTCTTTCATGATTTCTACACCTTAAAATCATTAATTTTTTACATCACTAACTTGATTGAACCGGGACAAGAGTCAGTTAATCAGTTGTTCCGGGAAAATGCCAGTTAATCGGTTGGGCCAGGAAAATGGCTGTTAATCGGTTAGGTTTTTTGACTATTACAAGAAATGGGCAACTTGAATCATTTCAAAAGTTTGTTTGAACGAAAGTACACTAAAAAAGAATATGCTTTCCGGTTCTAACTTAATTTTAAAAAAAAATTGAGGTAATCGGTTTGTCCGGGAAGCCGCAGATATATACTCATTTGAAAATTTGTATGTACAATTAC